CATCATCATCATCATCATCATCATCATCATCATCATCATCATCATCATCATCATCATCATCATCATCATCATCATCATCCATCATCATCATCATCATCATCATCATCATCATCATCATCATCATCATCATCATCATCATCATCATCATCATCAATCATCATCATCATCATCATCATCATCATCATCATCATCATCATCATCATCATCATCATCATCATCATCATCATCATCATCATCATCATCATCATCATCATCATCATCATCATCATCATCATCATCATCATCATCATCATCATCATCATCATCATCATCATCATCATCATCATCATTCATCATCATCATCATCATCATCATCATCATCATCATCATCATCATCATCATCATCATCATCATCATCATCATCATCATCATCATCATCATCTCATCATCATCATCATCATCATCATCATCATCATCATCATCATCATCATCATCATCATCATCATTCCTTGTGGATTTCAATGCCATGCGTCATAGGCAGAAATTATCTGCAGATAACTCAGCACCAAACAGGTCCGACTAGGAGACGACAGCCAGACACGCCACTGGTGCCGACTGCGAGCCATGTCCTGTAACGTCGCAAGTCAAACACAAGGCAGGTCACGTGCACTTCAGCTTGGAAGGCCAGCAGACCCTACATCTAGCAAACGAAATAAGGGGTGACCGGGCATACGTAGTACGTGTCCAAGCAAACGCAACTTAGGCAGTGTGATCAGTTGTTCTAAGGAACTATCTTGGTTATCAGTATATAGCATTTGCCTGCGCACATCATCGTTGCGGAAACGCTGGTGCCATCCGACATCAATGATTCGCAGACAACGATGATTAAAGACTTGAAAGCATCACAGGTCCTCAGGTCAAAGAAGGCAAGTCTCACTACCCTTAGAGTAGGACGGCCTTCACTGTGACCTTGTAGACGTAGTCTTCCAGACCGAGGAAATGATGATGATACCAAGAAGTCCAGAACCAGTTAACACAAGTGATTTAGGATTTAGCATCTTTGGGAAACCCATTAAAGTGTTTTACAGATCGATCCGATCGCTGAAAGTGATAAACCATTTGTAACCTGATAACCCAGTTCGGCGAACACCTGAAAGGAGTGCGGCGGGATTCTGATCTGAGAGTTGTAGACGCTTTTGAGTCTTTCAGTAGCGTTCCATACGGACCGTATGATCGTATGGGACGGTAGCAAAGAATCCGCAACTACCAGATGATGACCAGCTTGGTACTGTAAATTAACAAACAAACTAATATGGTGCGAACGCACTCTGTATATGCCCGAGCAACACAACAACGTGTTTGAATCGTCTATCAGATGTCAGTCAGACTTGGGATGGAAAGGCGCAACTATTGATATGTCAGTTAAAACGAAGTTGAGGAAGAATTGACTGAGTGGTGTTGGTCCATTGATTTCCAGTTTAGGATCCACATGACCTACCGCAAATAAGGTATTTCATCGCTGAACATTATCTTAGCATGATAATTCACTGTTTGTATTTGCATGTTGTGGATATGGTATAGATACCTTGAATCCAAATGCCAATTAAGGGCATTTAAATTTTACACTACAACCTTATTGTTCTTCTTTTATTAATACTCATACCACAGGTCAATAAGGTTGTAGGATAGTAAGGTATAAGTTCGAATTACTGCTGTACTGCAATTGATGATCATGAGTGCTCGAAGGACTGTTTATTGCCTGCAACAATTATGGCAATCCACTGTTTTAACAGCAGCGTTTAGCTTAGATGGAGCTGAAAAAGATTAGGTAAATACAGACGGTAACCAGATAGTATCCAAAAAGAACAGAAGAATCTACAGGCAGTAAGCGATTTTTCGGATCGGTGAGGGGTTGAGATTACGATGGTGCTATTACAAAATGATGATTATGGACCACGAGAAATGTGGTGTAGTCGCAGATGCCGTGGCAAGGCAAATGCATGCGACTGGGTGCAGAGGAGACAGTCGGACGCGCGAATACCAAGAGACCAGATTGATTTGATGAAAACAGTGGGACTAGTAACGCATTGATGTCAGAGAATGCAGCATTTTCTTCACATGAGAAGAATCCAGACAAGATACGTCTGCGTCAATCTCAGAAGCTCCGGTGCACTCAGTATGCATGGGGGGTAAGGAAGACAGAGTAGGTGGAACGTTATGCCGAACGCCGACAACACAAGGAGTTCTATGATTCGTTGTAGTCAGTGTAAGGGATCCCTTGCAACCAATGCGGATGATGATCCGGGCACTGCTTATTCACAACCTGCAGATAGCATGCAGGAGCGGCGCAAGTATTTCGATGGTCACCTGAATAACCATTAAAAGTTATCAAAAACACCTAGGGAGAACTGAAACTGTAAAAGGTGAGGGACACTCTTGTAGATGCCCAGGGTCTGTATGAAACGCAGAGAGCAACTGTTCAGCTGTGAAACGGCGAGTGTCCCAATGCCGATATGATACCACTAGAAATCCAGAAAAATAAATGGTGGACCAACACGGTTTCATGAGCAGCATCACTAGATCACGTAGCTATTTGCGATATGAGAACTGGCCGGACAATACATTTATTTGCTTCGGAGAAGCTCCGTAGGGACCCAAATAGATATTACATAGTTTTACCACAAAATGAGTGTACATAATTTAGTCTTGTTATACTGCTCCCATCCTCCGTCCATATTCGCTGGCACTCGTCTATGTGGTGAGTTACTGTGCTGATGCTTGCTCTTGTCTGCTTCATCCGTTCACATCTTCTTTAACCACCTGGAATACAATTCGCTGTGTTCCACTCCATTCGCATTCTGGCATCGGACTGATATTAACTAATTCTACAATGTCTTTATGTCCTATGTCTTCGGATTTACATCAGATTTGATGTAGGTGGGTGGGTGCAACGCAACCTCCAAGGTCCTTCTAAATCCGCAAGTGTCGCATGACTACACAGGCGTAGTTAAAGAGAAGTCCGAAAAATTTGGGTGCTGCCAGCAATCCCCAGCGCAACAACAGTAGTCATCCAAGTGACATTTACTGGTAAAAAGCAGTCAGCAAACTCGCTGTAGTAATAACTCATCAAGAAGTGGCCGGTGGCCGAGTGATCAGTGAACCTCATTTGCAGCCATAAGGTCACCGGTTCGAATCCGCGTAGGGATGGGCGTCCTCGCGGTAAACTCAGCCCACGCGGGACTGTTGGTGGTCGCGCGGCAGCGAAGCGCCGTTACGGCGTACAGCTGGCAATTCTTTCTCAAGAGGTTCATGATGAATTATCATAGTCAGACACAGTTATGTGGAGAACAGGCGTTAACCCCCCGTGATCAGTAAACAAGAGGTTAAAAACGCGCAGTAGTTATGACAAGTAGATCTTAGTCCAGGAAAGTTGTGTCAGGAAGGCTGGGCACATGGGTATTTTCGATTTGGATTCCCATTTCTACATATTATGGTTTAGGTTTGTGAATGGTTTGATGAATAGGATAGGGTAATGATGGTTCAAGAAGTGTACTACTTAGTACCAACAAAGGTAAAATGTCAAGTTATCATACGCCAAAACAAGTGAAGAGTAGGGCAGTAAAAACCAAAGGGAACATGTACAATGCAGATCTAACCAGGAGTGTGCATAACCACTTGAGAATTCTTTTCCTGTAAGAGTGTGAGCTGCTCAGTCATTCGTTTTGTCGTGACTTCGTATTCCTTAATCTTTTCCATACACTGGGAATTGAATAACTTTAAATCCTTGTTTTCTCCTTCGGATCTTCTGTATTTTGCATCGAAAGCTATTGAAGCAAAACACAATTCTGCTGCAAACTGAACGTACCTCTCGTTTTCTCCTCTATATCTTGCCGTAAGGCTAACAGATGTATGTGGAGGTCGTTATTATCTCGAATCAACCGCCCATTATCCGATTTGTAGGCGGACACATAATCTTCGATATTTGACCGTAATTTGATCTGAGAAAGAAGTTCACTCTTCGCGGTTCGCAGACTCTCAGTAGTCCAGACTAAGTCACAAAACAATCGTTCAACCAAGGGCAAACAGTCTAGACTAAGTGGTTGCTTGTAGCCTAACTGGTCAAGCCGCTTCCTCAGGTTGATAAACTTCTCTCTGATTGCTTGTGTGCCCATCGATCGGCAACCCGCACTAAATAAAAGACGGTAGAAGTCGTTCAGTACTCATGTGATGTTAGAGAGGCCGGTGTTTGGACGAAATACACACATTACATCAGTACCAGAAAGTAAAGCCACACTGTTGAGCAGGGTGGCATGGTGTATGCAGCTGTAAGGTCTAACATGCAAGTAGATACCGTAACACAATGTCTCATCCATCCCTTGTGATGAAAAACATTGCGACTGGAAGAAAAGGAGGAAAAGCGGCGAGATGAATTAACGGCCGGGAGCACAATGCCGAATCTAAGAAAGAAACTGATTGACAACCAGTTAGATATAGGATAATGCTCCAAAGCTTCGCGGTACTGCGCCGGTACTGCGTACCGACATAATGCAGATGCAGGTCAACTATTGTGTCGCAATACAAAAAAGAGGAATTAGACATTACAGCCTCTAAAAAAGCCATATAATGAAAAATAGTATATATATATATATATATATATATTGAAACAATTAGTTCCCGAGGAAACTTTTAGCAGAAAAGTTAACACAAGACTGCCGCACGATTTAATTCCGGAAAATTTTCCGCATATTTTCAAGTGCGTACTACAGACGTGTGAATTTATAGCATCATGAAAGGAGCGCAGTTAAAATGGCAAATTGACTAAACTGTACACACTTACATTCGCGTCACTATCTGTGCCCGGCCTGCTACCACGGCAATGCCAGGGTCACAAATGCATCTTTCTGCACACACAGAGTTGGGCCGAGTTGTTTGATAGCCACGGCCTCAGCATATCGTAAAGTTAGGGGGTTCATTGATGCATAGATAACACGGAACGCCTGCACGGGGTCTACCCAGTGATTGTCAAGCAGATGGCGGGCGATTGATGAAGCTGGTTGTTTGTATGGAAATGCATTTCGTTCCCCTGGCTGCGCATTCAAGGTGGTGGACGTGGTCATCTGCGAAACGTGTTTACTCACCCACGCCGGTATGTGCTCCGCGACCCTCACCCTCAAGTGTCGTTCTGTCATACCCACGTATTCGGCCTTGTAAATACATGTAAATTGGTAAAGGATATGGGAACGGCTGGACAGTGACAACGGGGGTTTAACCGATGGAGTAGGGATACGATTCGTTGTGTAGATGAGTACTGGTTCCGCCGCAGGATATACGCGCGCCACTGCGGATTTTAATCGGCGTTGAAAAACCTGGCATACGTCCTCGCCCTTGAATGGCAATTGCAGTGTTACCTTAATCTTTGGTACCGTGGGCACACGTGTTTTCTCTTTCTCAGCACTAAACTGAGCGATGAAAGAAGGTGGGTACCCATTGTTTACGAGGGTGCTGGTTATCAGCCGTACCTCTTGTTCCAGCGTGTCAGCAGTGCATATTTTCTAGCTCTGTTGAACAAAGTCTTCACTAGACCTTGTTTGTACCTCTTGGGGACAAAACTGTAGAAGTTCAAGTACTCTCCCTTCCACGTTGGCTTGCGGTAAACTGATCTGCGTACTGAACCGTCACTTCTGCGCTCGATCGGGATGTCCAAGAACGGCAGCGTATCATGCTGTTCGTGCTCCGTTGTCACCTTAATGTTTGGGTGTAAGCCATTCAACTTAGTAACCAGTTGGGCTAGATGATACTCGCTGTCGCAGATTAACAAAATGTCTTCCACATACCTACGAAACAACATTGTTTCATCGATCTCGGCCCTGACTTGATTCTCGAGATGGGCGACGAAAATGTCTGCTAATACCGGTCCCAGTGGACTGCCCATTGCAACACCATCCACTTGGCGGTAGCCTTGTTCTTGAAAATAGAACTTGACATTTGATGTACATAACAGAAGAAGTCGTTCTAATTCCGAGACCGGTATGCCTATTTCTACTTGATTCTCGACCACATGATTACAGATAATCTGAATCGTCTCTGTTAGTGGCACATTGGTAAATAGTGAGATGATATCGATGCTGGCCATGAATATTCCTCGGAATTCAATACCGTCCAGAAGTTCCACTAACTCAAACGTATCTCTTAGACTATGTTTAACCATTGATCGTTTAACTGGCTCCAACAGTGCTACAAGCCACTTTGGTAGCTTGTGTTGTGGGGAATTGCTCATGGACAGAATCCGTCTCCGAGGGACGTCCACCTTGTGCAATTTTGGCAATCCATAAAGCTGTGGTGTCTGCGTACCCCTGGATCTTAAGGATTTTGCGGTCGCAGCAGTTATGAAATTTCCTTCTAACAACGTTTGCAGTTCGACGTTTATTCTTTTCTCCAACTCCATTGGGTTGTTAGGCGTGTCGTCTGGTTCGAATTTAGTACGGTCGCTTAGTACTGTCATCATCTTTTTTATATAAGCCGATTTGTCTAACACTACAACACTGTTTGAGTCAAGTCCGGGCCGAGATCGATGTAACAATGTTGTTTCGTAGGTATGTGGAAGACATTTTGTTAATCTGCGACAGCGAGTATCATCTAGCCCAACTGGTTACTAAGTTGAATGGCTTACACGCAAACATTAAGGTGACAACGGAGCACGAACAGCATGATACGCTGCCGTTCTTGGACATCCTGATCGAGCGTAGAAGTGACGGTTCAGTACGCAGATCAGTTTACCGCAAGCCAACGTGGAAGGGACAGTACTTGAACTTCTACAGTTTTGTCCCCAAGAGGTACAAACAAGGTCTAGTGAAGACTTTGTTCAATAGAGCTAGAAAAATATGCACTGCTGACACGCTGGAACAAGAGGTGTGGCTGATACCCAGCACCCTCGTAGACAATGGGTACCCACCTTCTTTCATCGCTCAGTTTAGTGCTGAGAAAGAGAAAACATGTGTGCCCACGGTACCAAAGATGAAGGTAACCCTGCAATTGCCATTCAAGGGCGACGACGTATGCCAGGTTTTTCAACGCCGATTAAAATCCGCAGTGGCGCGCGTATACCCTGCGGCGGAACCAGTACTCAACTACACAACGAATCGTATCCCTACTCCATCGGGTAAACCCCCGTTGTCACTGTCCAGCCGTTCCCAAATCCTTTACCAATTGACATGTATTTGCAAGGCCGAATACGTGGGCATGACAGAACGACACTTGAGGGTGATGGTCGCGGAGCACATACCGGCGTGGGTGAGTAAACACGTTTCGCAGATGACCACGTCCACCACCTTGAATGCGCAGCCAAGGAAGCGAAATGAAGTTCCATACAAACAACCAGCTTCATCAATCGCTCGCCATCTGCTGACTGATAATCACTGTGTGGACCCCGTGCGGGCGTTCCGTGTTATCTATGCATCAATGAACCCCCTAACTTTACGATATGCTGAGGCCGTGGCTATCAAACAACTCGGCCCAACTCTGTGTGTGCAGAAAGACGCATTTGTGACCCTGGCCTTGCCGTGGTAGCAGGCCGGGCACAGATGACAAATTGACATATTTTAATGTGTGTTAAAATGAATAAATAGATAAATAAATTTTTATATTTATTGACGGGCAGTACACGATCCCATAAGTGGGAGCGATCATTTGCATAGTGAACACGTTTCATAACATTAAATAAAAGTTTACTGATAACATTTCGGATCATGTTTACTTTACCTTGTGTCCTGGACCCGCGCAACTCTTATGTAAAATTAACGGATGTTTTATCGTCCGGATTAAATAATAATCGAGGGGACTATTAGGCTGCAAATCCTCAGGATTCCGTATGGTGTGTAATGACATGTAGTGGGTAAGCTAGCTGTAAGCTATTATCAAATGTTTTTTATACCAACTTCTGTCAATGTTTCTAGTGTTTGTTGTGTGTCAAACATCTTCAGAGCATTTGGTATATTGAGGAAGTTCTGAAGGAGATTTTGAAAACTGACATGACTTGTACACATGTGTATCTGTATGGGTAGTTTATTCCACAAATGAGTGTATCTCAATAAGAAGAAATTCGACCGAATTTTATGACTTGTAAGGTTTGTACCTATCAAGTAGCCGCCATTACGTGTGGGGTAGAATGTAGTCTTCTGTAATTTAAGTGCGGTGTTTTCTGCGTAAATTCGTTGTTTTATAATGTTGTAGAAGAGAACGAGGTTATTCTTTAAGCGTCTCAGCCAAAGTCGATCCAGCTGGAGTTTTCGACAGCGATCATAATAAGTCAGGTTTGAGCAGCGTCCAATGAGCAGTTTGGTAAATGATCGTTGGACATTTTCTAGAGCCGTTCTGTCTTACTTTCTCAATTGGCTGTGAAGGATAGCACAATATTCCAGAGTCGGTCGTACGATTGTCTTGAATTATTCAAGTCGTACTTCAGGTAGGGAGAAAGTTCCGGTGATATATCCGCATAGCTGCCTTGCTTTCGCAACCTGATAAAGAACATGTTCGGAGAAATTGAAAGAGTTGGAGTACCTAATTCCTAAGTCCCGAACTGAATCAGACGTTGGGATAACGTTTCCGGCAAGTATAATGGAGCCTTCTGGGATGCGGCATCTGTACTCAAGTACTTGGGATTTCACTGCGGAGAACTTCATTAATAAGCGCTCACTAGCTATATTTAGTGCGGATAGGTCTTCACAGATGTTTCCCAAACACATATGTAGTTGATCTGGATGAAATGAGTAGACCAGTTTGACATCATCTGCAAACAGAAATGGATGTCCAAGTCTGATCGGGTCACATATATTGTTTACATAGATTAAGAAGAGTAGCGGTCCGACTACACTTCCCTGGAAGACACCGCTGGTTATTGGCTTCGGTGTAGAATGTTGCTGACCGATTTTAACGACCTGAGTTCGACCGTTTAGGTATGAGTCGAACCAGTTAAGCAGCGGATTTCCAATTCCATATGACTCTAGAGCAGACAGCAGTGGCTGGTGTGGCACGCGGTCGAACGCCTTTTGCATGTCCAACAGAATTATAATAATTGCCATTCCTCTGTCAATCATAGTCGTGATGTGATCGAGAAATTGCAGCTGGCATGTAACGCAGGAGCGTTTTGAGAGAAAGCCGTGCTGTGAAGGGTTGA